GATCTTGAAAAACAAGGAATCGGGTATGTTTTCTTACTTTTGCTCCATTCTCAATTTTTATGTTCAATTTTTTTTATGTGAGCATGGTTTTCTCTTATTAGGGTTTGCTCTTGTCATTGTTAATTTTGTTCGAAATATTAAAAAATTTAATTCAATTTTTTTCAGTTCTCCATTTTCTTTTCAATTCCAATGGAACTGAAGGATCAATTCTCTGATGTATTATTTGATGGTATGTTTTATGTCTGTATAATTTGAATTTGTATTTGAAATTTTTCCTTTTGGTCTGAAAATTGTGATAGTAGGCTATTTTCGTCCCTTTTGTTATTGTTATTGGTGTTGGTATATCAGGCATTGTAGCTGCACGAATTCTGGGTTTTTTGGGTTTTTATTTTTTATTTTTTTTATTTTTTTTATTTTTTTTATTTTTTTATAGTTTTGAGTATGTTTTCTTCTTTTTTTTTTTTTTTTTTTTTGTTTTTTTGTGTTTGAATACGAGTAGGTTGAAGAGCTGCATAAAGGACAGCCACAAGGGCAAAGCCATACAAAGCAAAGTTTCCAACATCGTGATGTCAACCATTTTGCATCTGTGAGTATTAGATTCCTTTTTCCATTTCCATGCCCCTTGATTGGTTTTACAATTTGGTCACTTTTTTAAGATGTATAGTGTTCCATTTTTTCTGGGAGTTGTTAAGATTCTAGTAATCAACTTGTTCCATTTAGTGACGCCTATAAAATGAAAGTTACCGTGTTCATATGTTTTCCAAAATATCTCAAATCTCATAATCTGTGGGTCATTTGTGTGCAGGATGTTCATTAAGAGGACAAGGAATTGAGAGAAAAGCTCCCCCTGGTTATCACTGATGCGTCTCAAATGCATAGAGTTGAAGGAGTTGAAGTCTCTATCTAATATAAACAATGTCTTTGTATATGCTAATGCCTATGGTCTAATATGGACATAGATTGTTTCTCAAATTGGTATGATAGGGTAAAATAGTACGTGAGATTCGTCTTAGTTTCGTCTATAATTTTGGGTTGGAATCTATAAATCCGTAATGAGTAAGAGACTTTTGTTTTGTATATGTATGTTTTGATAGCTTCTTTCAAAGTCAAACACAGTTTAATACCTTATGCATTCTCAAGGAAAACGTTTTTGTTTTCATGTACATCTGAAAGTGTCTTTCTCCTTTATTTAGTTTTACTTAATTAGGCATTGTCATTTGTGTATCTGGTCAGAGTGTATGTATATTGATGCAAAGTTACATTGAGACACCTACAAAGGAATACATGAGAAAATCAACATATGAAACCAGTTTGGCGTTTAGTGAAAGGAAATTGTGTCGTTTGATGAACAAAAACCAAAGTAGCAATAACAATCTCCAAAATTATCACCAAACTAGCACTTGACTTGTGACATCCCTTTAGTCACACTTGTTTAATACAGTACAAGTTCAACAAAATGATTACAACATCTTCTCCAATTCAACAGAAATTACCTCCATGGTCTTTATCTTCTCATTTTCCAAGCCCCTTGTTTGCACTGTTACTTTGTGAAAGGTCATGATGGTGCTTCATAACTTCCAATAAATTACCAAGCAAATTATATTATATAAAATCATTCATAAAAACAATCAGGTAATATTCTTAGGTTATACTAGTTACCTAGAATTGTTGAATACGAGGAAAGCTATTCTGAGAGTTTCTAAATGGACCAAAAAATGGTACTTGAGTTCCATTCTCAATACATGATCCCTACAATAGTGAAATATATAAACATGTCATAATAGGTAAATTATACATATATATAAACATGTCATAATAGGTAAATTAAATAGCAGGTAAATTTAAATATGCAGGGTGAACGATTATACCGCACCACTTAAAATTGCAATAAAATTAAATAGCAAGTAAATTTAAATATGCAAGGTAGACGATTATACAACACCACCTAAAATTGCAATAAGATTAAATAGCAGTCCAAGATGGCGATGATACTGCACCATCTTTGCTCACAATAAAATTAACATAAATAAATACTGGATTAGTAATCAGGAACTACACCAAACAAGAAATCAAATATATAAGTAATTGTTAAATTGAGAACGAGAATAAGGCATGGTGCAAACAGTTCTTCATGAGAGTATATCCAGCAGGTGTGGCAAAGGAAGAAGAAGAATAGTAAAATCCTAGGGGGAAACTTTTTTTTTCTTTCAGCGAAGGGAAATGAGAAATGGCTAGAGAGTCGTGCTGATAACGTGTTATAAATAAGCAAAAATTAGAGAAATAACCTTTGCTAAAGACAGGAGCGAAGCGGGTGCAAAATATCACACTAAAACTTTAGTAGCTATCACACAAAGGATGGCAGATAAAGAGAGGGAGGAAGATATACTGATATTATTTCTTTGATTCTTTCTTTTGCAGTGTGTATTTTGATAACACACAAATCACTCTATTTATAGAGCTATTCCCATTAGAACATCCAAAGATGATAGGATGGCTACTTTTGACAATATTACATAACAAAAATATATCACTGTCCTTTTCACCTTTTTCCAAATGCATGTGGGATGTATGCATACTAATGCATATGGGATGTGGGCATACACCATATAGCTTTTTACAACATTAACTTCCTTTTCAATTACTTTTATTTGAACATAATATATCAGTTACGCATAAGTATTTACACATTTCTATTCTTAGAACAATTGAATAGTTGTGTATGTACTGAGAATAAATTTCATATTGATGAGAGTAAGGACCATGTATGTGCTTTATAAGTAAGTGACTATTTTTTTATATTGTTAACTGGTTTTATGGTGAAACCTCAACTTTCTTCATGATATCAGAGCAGGTTATCCGCTTGTGAACCCTAATGGCCACACGCATTCACATCACCCCATTTGTGTTGTTCACGTGTTTGGTTTAAAAATTTGCCCCATGTGAGGGGGAGTGATGAAAATAAATCTCATGCATCGTCCATTTTATTTTTGAACAAACGACATTATCTACACTAAGGGGAGGAGGTGAGCTTAGCCTCACAATTAATGGGATAGCAATAATGTGGTTCAAATTCGCCTTTGACGAGAATCGAAACTAAGACCTCTCACTTACAAATGAAGATACATATGAATGGTTAAACTGTCTCTAGATTAAATGATTTTTTGCAAAGATGATCTTTAATTGATAATGACAAAGAGAATGAGTGCTTCTAATTATGATGCTTGTACAGTGGGAAGATGTGTTCATCATAAGTAGGGGGACAAGTACATTCCCTATTAGGGGGCCACAAATTACTATTATCCTTTTCCTTTTTGAAATATTTTAGAATGGCTAATGCCAAACTTACTATATTTTGTGTACTAGGTACATTTGCACAATCTTTAGGTAGCACCCGTCAATCCAAGTAAGTTCCACCTTTATTAAAAATATGGTACAAATATTATATACAAAATATAATAAGAGTAGCATTTTTGTTTTATAATTGTTTTTAATTCCTTCATATGCACAAACAAGTTCATACAACGCATTACGTGCAGGCATGCAACAATTATAATGTAAAACTTAGTAATAAAACTCAAATATTGAGGAGATCATCACTGGATTCTTAATAAAATATTTATATTAAAAGTAAAACCAATATAAGTAGATTGCACCCCGGTCTAGAATAAAATCTGGCGTTCATAGCAAGTCTTAATTACCTCGTATGTATACAAGCGATCGAATTGATCATAGCAATACATGTAGGCAATATATATTTTCCTCAAAATCCAATAAATCGGATTTAGGTTATGATATAGTATTATTACTGTAACTGCATGAGATACATTTGAACAAGGGATACTTTGGATGCGGTCCTTAATCCTTAACATTCTTTGACTAAAACCTTAATAGTTTTCAAAGTTTGATCAAAGTCTCTTGACTTTGTACACCTCATTATATTACTATTAATATTTTTATTTTTATAGTTTTGACATTAATTGTTTGATATTTTATGAGATTTATAATCCTATAAATTTAAAGTCCCTCATTATAATACTATTAGAAACGGTTACAATAAAAAAATTCAAACATTTTGATTGAATAAATGGATAAAAACTATGTAACAATAAGAAATAATAAATGGCAAAAGAATGTATCCATAGTGTTAAAAAAAATGGTACATTTTGCAAAAAAAAAAAAAATGATACATTTCACATATAACAAAGTGGTATATTAATAAAGAAGGATGGGTACATTATAAATAAATTAGGGTACAAATAAAAGATTAAAAAATTATGAATACAAATGAATTTTTAAAAAATATGGGCACTAAAAGAAATTAATATATGGGTACAAATTAAAACTAAAAAGAAAATACTACAAATTTAAAAAAAAAATGTTGCAAATTAAAAGTGGGTACAAACTAAAAATATAAGTATATGATACAAAGTTTAACTGTAAAACATAAATATACCATATGTAATTTTTCTATCATTGACTAAATATATAATGTCACGTGATGACAAAACACATGGGTACAAATTCAAATAAAACTTTAAAAAAATATGGGCACCAAAAGAAACTAATATATGGGTACAAATTAAAAATGAAAAGAAAATTGGTACAAATTAAAAAAGGTTTGCAAATTAAAAATAGGTACAAGCTAAAAATAAAAATATATGATAAAAAATTTAGTCATAAATATAGCTATACTAATTGTAACATTTTTAACACTAAGGGAATATATTTAAAAATAAAAATATTTTATTATTCAAATAATTAATGATGTTATTAATACCCAAGGACCTTGATCAAAAATTAAAAATGAATAGGGTTTTAATCAATGTAGTAGTAAAATGAAGGATGTGAACCTAATTTCACCTTTGAACAATGTCGATGCTAAAAAAGGGAAACTAGAGTTTTGGTCCTATAAATACAAACCTAGCTCTACTCCAATTCTATTAAGACTATTCTCACTTCCGATAACCAACCCACCTGAGCCTTTCATCACGTACAAGAAAATGGCATCTGCATCATGCCCACGTGTTCCAATATTACTGGTTATTCTCTTCTTCCTCATGATCAATATCACTCCATCTTTTACTCAACACACCCAGCAGTTGATCGAGAGTATCTGCAGGTCAACGGAGCAGTACGGATTTTGCACCCAAACCTTCAAAGAAAACCTGAAATCCCCAGATGCTGATATCGTCGCCCTCACCCAAATAACCATAGAGCGGTCCGTAGACAATGCTACTCAAACACACAACTTCATCAGACAAACGATTGATAGCACAAACGACCCAGCACTCAAAAGCGCTCTGGAAAAATGCGCGTATAGTTACGGTTTAGTGATGGAGGCATTTGACTCGGCTGCCGTGGCGTTTTTCCAGAAGGATTACGACACGTAGAGTAATAACTGATATAACAGAAATATAGTTAGAGGGGTTTTATCGTAATTAGGTTATATAGCTATATAAAGGATTGTATAGCTATCATTTCCTTAAGTTTATTTGTATACATTTTATCCACTCAATCTCTCTGGTTTTCTCTTTATCATCTTCCTCTTCCTCTGTACCAACTTTATCTTTTGTAATGTAGTTAATATGGTATCAGAGCCACCAGGCTTACACCATAAATTCTGGTGGTTTCACTTCTTAATAGTTAAATTTTTTTTTTTTTTTCCTAGTTTAGTTTCTCTTCGAATTTTCATTAGATTTTCAGTGCTTCCGTGATTGTTCTTGGTTTATTTTTCTAGGATATGAATTGAGATTTCACCACTGATCTCGATGATTCCTCTCTCGTTTCGACACCGGATTGCTGTTTGTAGACAGATAGAACCTTCGCGCTGGCTTTTGGAGTTTGCCTCTGCCATTTGCAAAAAAAAAAAAAAAAAGCCCAGATTGACCTGCACTGGAGTTTTCTTCTTCAGATCTTGTGTGGTCAACGGTGGAAGGTTGGCGGGACAAGAAAGATCGAGTTGCTCTAATTCCATTTCCTCGAGTTGACGATTTTCTGGTGGCTGAAGGTGGATTCTGGTCTTGGGATCTCTTCGTGTTCCAATTCTGTGCACTCCAACTGTTTGAAGAAATGGGTCAGTGAATTCTTTGATTTCTACTCTGTTCTCTGTATGGAAGAAAGATTAGACATGGGTGCACTCCAGGTGTTTGTCGAAATGCCCAACTCAAAAGTTTCATGTGAAGGTTATGTTTTCAGTCCATTTTTCTCTGAATTCTTGAACAATTAGAATGGATCTTTTCTGGGTTTTTTCAAGTGTTTTTTGGTGCTGGTTCAGAATTACTGTTCTGCTACTTGGTTGTGGCTTGTGTTGCTTTTGGAAGTATATTTGTTCAAGATTTGGGTATTCTATTTGTGTTTCTATTGTGCTCCCATTTTCAAGAATATTGTTGGATTATGTAAAATGTTGCTACCAGTTGGAGTTTTCTTTGGGTATTCAATAAGGTGAATTGTAGTGATTTGTGCCTTGGTGCAATGGGTTTTGAAGATGAGTTATGATTGCAGCTTATTTTGTGTATCAAGTATTTTGGGTTTTGAAGATGAGTTTGTTAGCATTGTTTCCGGTTTTTGTGAGTGGAGGATGTTGTTGCTCGTGCAGAGGATGAAAGTACTAGTTATATATTACCAAACAAATGGATCTGAACTTCTGTTACCTGGTCAGTCTGTCAGAAATTCGACTAATGGTGATGTATTTGTAGTTTCACCCAATCTTAGCAGTATAAAATGAAGAATGAGGGGATTGCATTTTGTGCCTCTGAACTTGTAAGAAATGGACAAGGAAACTCTCCTAAAAGTGGCAGTCCCATTCCAGTGAATCTTAGGCAGAACAGTGTGCTGGGGCAAAGCAGAGAAGCAAGCAGCAATGCTTGTTTACCGGTCAATTCGATTGCTGGGTTTCTTGAAGATTTTGCTCTTAGAGTTTATGCACATGTTCGATCTCTGGTGTAAATCAGGTGATTTTGCTCTTGGTACCCATATGCAAATCTATAATGTTGTCTGAGAAGTTTACTGTGATTTGAGAATTTGGAGCTCTCTGATATGAAAAATTTGTGCAATATCTACAATTTCTATGAATTGGACTTTCTATGATTTCGTTTTGTGTGAAGAATGAAGAAGGTTGTTTGATTAGTATACTGAGGAGTATTATATTTGAGATTTGTGTAATTTGAGAAAAGCAGTGGAGTGTCAATCTCTGATGAAAAGTGAAAATGAGTATCAATCTCCTATGACAAGAAAGTGTCAGTCTTTCTTGGTAGAAATCAGTATAATTTTTTTTTTAGGTTTCATGTCAGCGAAGTGAAAAGGAGTGTCATTCTCCTTGGTTGATTTGGGTTCTTGGAGTGTCATTGTCATTCTCCTTGGTAGATTTAATTTCTTGGAGTGTCATTGTCATTCTCCTTTGTTGATTTAGTTTCTTGGAGTGTCATTCTCCAAGTATTTAGTGATCAGTTCTTGGTTGCATTCAAGGGAATTCAAAAAGCACGTCACCAGTTTGCAACAAATCATAGGTTCCAAAAGGGGTCCAGTCACAGTGCCTTAGTGTCAACAACTCCGGACTATCATACATTGCTCCAAACTGCAAGAGACAGGGGTTTGGGGTTTCCTGCAGCTTTTAGCTTCATAATAGTAATTGCAGATGTATGTACAAAAGGATTGCACAATCCAATGTTCTTGAAGCACTGCATACATCTTAGTTTCATAGTTCCAGATCAGTCTCAAATATCTGGCTAGCTCAAACTTCACTTGGATACTCCAAGTTTAGTTTGAGGGGAGAGTAATAACTGATATAATAGAAATATAGTTAGAGGGGTATTATTGTAATTGGGTTATATGGCTATATAAGGGATTGTATTGTTATCATTTCCTTAAGTTCATTTGTATACATTTTATCCATTCAATCTCTCTGGTTTTCTCTTTATCATCTTCCTCTTCCTCTGTACCAACTTTATCTTTTGCAATGTAGTTAATATAGAGAAGTCTGAGAGTGGGACGCCGAAAGCAGAAGCCAGCTGTGAAGACTCACTGAGCAAGACGCCGCCAAATACTGTGAACCCACTGACTGACAGAAATAATCAGATGAGAATTCTGATTGCCATGTCTTTGAATGCTGTGCATGAACTAAAGTCTACCCAGCACAACTAGGGTTTTTAAGAATTTAGTTTTTCTTGTTTTCGCATTTGCTTTAATTTTATAAAATGTTTGGCCACAGACTGACAGTTGTTGTCTATTTGGGCTTTATTTCATGTTCGATAAATGGAGAGACTTTACAATGTTTTTCCTTAAGCTACTCTCAATGATTGTTAATGACATTAAAACTAAATGTATATATCTAATTAAGCGTGTGCATGTGTAAGCAGAGATAGCCAGCTGCATGCTAACAGAACACACACATATTCTTTTTTTGTATTATTCGATCGGGTAATGCTAGTTAATAAAGAGATCATCTATTTAAATTATATTTTGAAAATCATGCATATGACGTGATTGTTGATAATTGGACAATTACTTACGTGTTGATTAACGTGCTTATACTATATTGGTAACGCATCACATGATCTTTAAATGTGGTCTTTAAAATTAGTCTACCAAACATTATTCTATTCGATCACAATAATTTTTTCCCAGTTTTCTTTATATATTGGGAAAACAAATCTGGTACTCAATTGGAATATATAGAAACATTGGATTCACTAATAATAATAATAATAATAATAATTATTATATATATATGTGTGTGTGTGTAAGTTATAGAAATGTCACTTAGTATTATGGTCTAGTGATATTTATCTTCACTTGTAAGTGAGAGGTCTTAGGTTTAATTATCACCAAAAGCAAATTTGAACTATATTATTGCTAGCCCATTGTGAAGCTAAGCCCACCTCCTTCCCCTTAGTATAGATAATATTGATTTTTCAAAAAAAAAAAAAAATATATATATATATATATAAGTTGTAGAAGTTACTTTATGCTATAAGAAAGACGATTATGCTATTTAGACACATCATATACTAACACACTTGATACATTACAAGGTTCACAAACAATAATAGGATTCATCTCTAGTCTGTCAACAAATGTGTTAATGAACTGGTTTGGTATATAATAAATAGCTAGTATCCTCATGATGCACCATCTATTAATTTGTTTGATACATATGAATAGTTAAATGATCTTCAAATCGAATGGTTTTTTACAAAGATAATCTTTAATAGATAATGATAAATAGAATGAACCATTAAAATTATGATGTTTGTACGGTTAAGTTGTGTTAATCAGAAGTGGAGGGACAAATACATTCCCCTATGAAAGGAACACAAATATTATCCTTTTTCTTGTTGAAATGTTTTAGAATGAGTAATGCTAAAACTTATCATATTTTGTATACCTAGAATCGTAGCACCCACCAATACAAATAGATTTCACTATTATTAAAAATAGGGAATTTTAACGAAATGCTTCTGGTACTGTTCACTTTAACGAAAAATCACATTTTTACTCTAAAAAGTCAATCATGGTACTATTTATTTGACCATTTATTTTATCCTTATTGTTAAAACTCAAAGTTTTCAAACTATTTTTAAGGTAAATCTCAGTTTACTACCCTCAAGTTTCGTGGGTTTCAACATTTGGTACATGAAGTTTTTTTCGTCCCAGAGTCATACCTAAAATGTTAATTTTGGGACAGTCTCATACATCCGTTAGTATGACTGTTAAGTCTCCCGTTGACTAATGACATGGCGCTCACGTGGACAATGATTGGGCGTCATGTGTCAATAAGGGTCCCATGTGGATATTAAAAAAAATTAAAAATTAAAAATTACAAAATTACAAAATTACAAAAATTACAAAGAAAAAAAAAAGCTATCTTCTTCCTCAAACCCCCGACCGACTCTCATTCGTCCATTCTTCCACTCCCTTTGACTCGGTCATTGATTCCCTCAACTCGCCTGAGTTCCCCTTCTCATTCTCTTCTTCTAAGCGCTTATAGCGTCACCTACAACAACAATCGTGCTAAGGGTTAGGGTTTTCAGTTTTTTACTCTGATTCTTCCAACAAGTCTCTTTCCAATTCTTAATTTTATAGGGTTAGGGTTTTCGTTTCAGGCTTTCTCTCCGTGAGCGATTTTCCCGACTCTCAGGTGAGTAATTCACTGTTTCGAATTTGAATTTTGCTTTTAAATTATTAAATCTCTATATTTTCATATGATTCTTCACATTGTTACCGAATCTCAGTGTAAATCCCTAATTCAATTGCTAAATTTTGGTGAAGTTTCTTTGTGTGTTTTAATTTGGTTACTGAGTTTTGTGATTAGATCGTTGATTTGTTATTTGAATTTCACTTTCTGTTTGTTTATCTGAATTCAGAAACTCCATTTGGCTAGTTGAATTTCATT